CTGACCACTTCTGGTGCCTCACAAAACGAGATGACAAACTCAGCTATCCTATGCAGAGATTCAACCTTTCCTTTTCTAGCGACACGGAGAATTTGCTTCATATAATTCACGATGGGAAATTAGGAATGCAGTCTCACATCATATAAACTGTGGAAAATCGTGGAAAAAATTCATCGAAACTCATGGCGTGCGCATCTCACACTGTAAATCAGGGAAAAATTGTTGACGCCTAGGAACAGAACCTATCCAGCAAACTGTTTGATCGAACACAGCAACTCGACCACGCATTCGATCGAACAGGTGCCGTGCTACTGCCCTACACCACGGACAGCCCCTAGCCTCAGCATGGTATAATAACTGGTCACCTGGCATGGAACACCTCCCTGGCGTCGTAGAGGAAGGCGCTATTGTCGAACGTGGAGGTCCGCGGCGGCGGGCGGCGGCGGCGACGGCAGCAGTTGCTACATGCAGGCGGCGCCGCTCCACCATTCAGTGTTACTCTCTCTGCCGCTCTAATGTGAGACCACCGTACGGGTCCCGCACCCTGACCGGTTAAACACACTTCGACGCTGACGGGTGGGCCTCACGTGGCAGGAACGGAAACACACCGCGAAGCTTTGGCTAATCCAACCCACAGAGACGGCGCGCATGGCGACCGCGGCGGCGGCGGCGGTGGCGTCGCTCCGGTACTTCCCCTCTTCCGTCAGGAACCGCAGCTATCCCGGAACTATCGGCGGCGGCGCTGTGGTCACGTTTTCTCCGCGGCGGGGCCGCTGTGCGACGGCGGCCGTGGCCGCGCCTTCGCGGGAGGCGGAGCCGGCCTCCTCGCTCGGGGACCTCACCCGCGTAGACTTCCCCATCCTCGACCAGGTCTCCCCTGCCCATCCCCGGCTCGTCTCGTTGTTTGGTTGTTCGTGCCATTCCAGTCCAATTTTGAATTTGATTAGTGAAATAGTATTTACAGTCGCGCATCTAATTATGTTTGTTCCCAATAAATTATCGGATCGTTTTTTATTGCGGCGCGTCTAGTTACTCCTGATTACAACATGTATGTAGTCCTGCTTTTGCTGCTGCCTAAAAATATTTCCATTCGTTCATAAGAGGGTCTATGCTTCACGGTACGGAGTTCCAACTACTGTTCTAAGGTGGTGTGTACGCAATTGGAGCGAGTGGCCATGGAGGTTTTTTCCCAACATGGGTGGCAGCATAATCTCCGTATCAGCCCATCACCTCCTTCGACATAGGCATAGTGACGGTCCTATTTGACTCTACTGGTGCCGATATGTCAACTTTTTATCTTCTTTCAGACTGTTTGAGTTTGGCTGTGTGCATCCGAGTTATGCAGAGGCCGGGTGTTGCTCATCATGATATGTATCCTCTTGATGCTACGTTATGAGTTAATAAAACCGCCCTTTATCGGAAAAAATGTTCATAAAAGAGAGATATGGCTTTTAGCATATCACCGTGTCTGGTGCAGTTACCACTGCGGATAAGCTGATATAAGTTTCACTCAGCTTTCTTTTGTTTCGGTCATGCGTGTAAAAGATCCGTTTGTAGAGCCCTCCAGGACAAAGTTGTTTTATTCAATGTGGATTCAGTAACTGCAAAATTATTTTTGGTTTACATGTTGGATTCTTTCGTTATTACTATTTCGCAAACTTTAACCTTACAGTATGTTATGTGTACACTTTTGGCATTCGAGTGAGGTGGTTTTTATATCATTTATGATCATCGGAACTTGCAGGAATTTGATGGTAACAAATTAGTTTACTTCGACAATGGTGCAACATCACAGAAACCCTCTCATGTGATGAAAGCCTTAGACGACTACTACCGATTTTATAATTCGAATGTTCACCGTGGCATTCATGCTCTCAGGTAATTTTTTGATTTGTCCTTTATGTCTTAATTGGTGTTGTAAGTGTAAAATACCCACTAGTACCAGGAATTTGGATGCATATTCTCTATTTCTAAGTGTGAGTAAAGCAAGGCTGTGGCCCTGATGTAATATCTGGCTCTAGACCCCTAGAGGCGTTGAGCTCTGCAGGAGAAAACCCTTTTTTCGAGAAACAGAAGATTACCCTTTTACTCTCCTACGAGGAATATGGATGTGAATCACCACAGAACACCTCCTACAGCACAAAACTATTTTACATGATTACATTTCACTTTTTGCCTTGCACAATTTCTTCTGTGATTTCCCCGTATATGACTTGTCTGTTTTGTGAGGTATGGTAGTGCTCACATAATTTTCTTGTGTTGGACGATGATGCTATAGGTGTCGAGTTTTGCGATATACGATGATCAACTGCATGCATAGAAAGATAAGCAGTCGATTTGCTTCATAGTATGGTATTGCTAGGCTGCTAGTTTTGTATCACTCAATCAAGTAGGTTATCATATGCTTTGTGTTTGCGAGCTATGTGCATATGTATACATATGTTTTCCTCCTACTGACATTTTTTCTTCACCATCATCAGCGCAAAGGCTACTGATGCATATGAGAGTGCAAGAAGGAAAGTTGCAAATTTCGTCAATGCGGCTGATAGTAGAGAGATTATTTTTACTCGTAATGCTACAGAAGCTATCAATTTAGTAGCTTATTCATGGGGCCTATCTAACTTAAAACAAGGAGATGAGGTGAATCCTCCATCTTCCCCAGCTGATACTTCGTGCTCTACCTGCCAGTCATAACTTCTTTTTATGCTTCTACTTTGATGCATATCATGAATACTGTTCTTCAAACACTGTTTGACCTTTTTCATGTATGAGAAAATTCCTTATATGACACTCTTTTAAATGTTGTTTCCCTATTTGACACCAAAAACTTTTTCTTCCCTATTTGACATCGTGCCTAAATTTTATGCCCTTTACGACACTTTTATCCATTTTAAGCCTTAACGGCACCTGAAAAGACCTATTTGCCCCCAATGTGATTTGTGATTAAAATTGTTATGTGGTAGTTTAGCTTCATCATGCGACTCTGTCTGGATGTG